ACACAATGCAACAAAGATTGCTAAAGTCAACAGATTTTACTAACAGACCTACTCTCTACAAAACAGTGGATTACTCCGTAAATATTCATCCATGACATTTAATATTTTGGCTTTCATCACTATATGTGTTTATCTTTCTTCAGAAAAAATATTAGCAAAATCAAAACTTTTTGAGCCGGGGACCTCTGGTTGAGTTGACACAGAATGACCCTATAGAGAGAATATGGAGCTCAAACTCAAAAATATGGAGCAAAAATATGCAATTTGGTGCAGATTCGGATATTTATATGGCCAAAAAGTTCTGATATCCTGTAATGAATATAAATGAAATCTTTATAACAGTATAACAGACTACTGACATAAAATGCATATAAATATCATTTGTCTCTCTGTACCTCCCAATAATGTCTTAAGATGACATTTATATGCTTAGTTTGATGATCAGTTTAAGACACATGAAACACGAGCTGAAGTTGGATGTTTGTACAATTATACTAAAAGGCCTTTTGCTTGCTAAAAAAGTATCAACTATCAATCAGACGACAGAATGCATGTAGCAGATTGTGTACAACAGCAAAGTTTCAATTATGGTGATCATTCAGAGGGCTTAGAAATTTGCATATCAAATATGAAACAGTAGGCTTTACAGGGTTAAACTTTTTGAAACGCATTTTCATGTAACATTTATTTATTTTAGCTTTATTTCATTGAACGAAAATGATTTTTAATAGTTTTAGTTAACAGTAACAACACTGTTTTACCTATTTATAATATACAGCAGCCTTACCTACTGTTGTATAAACAGTATAGCGCAGTCTCTACCGACTGACACATTTCTACTGTTCCAGGTCAGCCTTACAAAGCCATATGCAAACCCAAAGACTTTCTCTCTCCCCCCTCTGTCTCTCTGCAGGAGCTGTCACGGGTTCATGCACATGAAGTTCTCGCAGTCTCGGGATGGGAAGTTCATCCTGGGAGAGAACAGTCCTCCATTTGGCTCCATCCCTGAAGTCATTCATTACTACACCACGAACAAACTGCCCATCCGCGGAGCCGAACACCTGTCCCTGCTGTTCCCGGTGCTAGTGCAGACGCTCTGAGACCACACACACACACGCACACACACTTACCATGTGCTCACACACGTACACACTCAGGGCCTCACTCAGACGGCTACTATAGTGCTTCATTTTCAATCACATATCGCAGGCTCTTTGAGAGTTTGATTTGTGTTTGGAGTGGGAATTAGATTTTTCAGGCGTGTGAATGAAAACGCCGTTGGCCTGTACAGAAACTGTATTGATGTGCTGCACATGTGTGAAGAATATTTTACACACCACTGAACTCTAAAGTGTCTTCGCATCACACTGGGAACTGTAATATTATTACTTTCTCTGCTCCAAACTCTTCAAATGATAGTTTTAACATTTGAAGATAAAATGTAGCCCGACCAAAGTATTTATAAAGATTTTGCTAAATACTAAAAAGCAATTATGTACAGTACAAATCCCATCCTCTGTAGGATTTCTTGCTTTAAAAAGTGATTCACCTGAAATGACAGTTGTCATCATTTGCTCATTCTCATGTCATTCCAAACCTGTAAAACACAAAAGAAGATATTTTGAATGATGTTAATGAAAGTGGATGCTGATCATGGCTGTTATGCTCTAAAAAGGACAAAATCACCATAAATTTAGTCCATATAAGTCTTCTAAAGCCACACAATAGATTTGTGTGAAGGAAAAAAAATGCAGTGTTGCAGCTCTCAATTCTCATTTGTTTCCACAATTTAAATACATTTTTGTTTATAAAAAGTCGAAATTGGCATACAAAGTCATAATTATGAGGTAAAAACTCAAAAGTATGACAAAGTCAAACTGTTAAGATAAAAAGTAAATAAATAAAATAAAAAATCGGACAGTCAAAACTATGACATTAATTAAAAGCTGAAATTTAGTTCTTTTTTTGTCAATTATGAATTATCAAATATTTGTCAAATGTCATAATTTACACCTCTTACCTCACAATTCCACTTTTTATGTGAATTATTATTAACACATTTTAGCTGCCATATTTAAATGTTTCGCTATGTTGCAGATAGGGCTGGACAATAATTCAATATCAATATGTATCGCAATATAATTTTTTTCAATAACGGTGATATGATTTTTAAACACATTTCCGATATTTCGATATTTCAAAAAAACGTTTTCGTAAACTGAAAAAAAAATAAAATAAAAAATCAAAATAAATTGATGTGTGTCGGTTTAGGGAACTACCGGGAAATACCCGTAAATGGCTTATCATGCACATGAGGTTATCTGACGGAGAGACGCAAAGCAGTTTAAAGCAGAGTCCTGCACGGGTCCTGTTAGGTAAACCTGCATCCGCAGTACACAACAGAACACCCGACCCGTTATCCGACAGCAGCCAGCACCAATTTAATTCTGTACCCGACCCGTTTGACATAAAGACCGCGACCTGAACCGCACCCGCATTAAATAGGCTACTGCATCAGTAAGGCAAAATTATTTATTTTCTCATGTGACACAAGCAATCAAACCAAAATAGGCATTTTAAGTTGGTGCTTTGAAGAGAAATACACAAGCAGCGCAACAGAAGAATGATAAGAACGCGCATCCTTCCTGTATACAATACAAACTTTTGCCTACATCTTGTGAACAATCTGCCAGGCTGTTTTGAACAAATGTGCATAAACTACATACTAAAAAAAGTTGAAATTAAGAGATAAAACCTTAATTATGATTATAATTCAGTTTTTTAATTGTTTTTTTTAACCTAATAACTGTTAATTTTGACGTCATAGTTATGCATTTTTATGTCAGTTATGATTTACATCATTTATTTTTTCTTATGTGGCAGAAATCGGCTTCCATGTTATTGTTTATATCTTTTTGTCCTTTTTAGAGCTTTATGGCAATGGTCACCATCCACTTTCCTTGTATTGTAAATTTAGTTCTGTTCTACTCATTTCTCTTTTTGTGTTCCACTATATAAAATTACGCTGGTTTGGAATGACATGCGCATGAGTGAATAATGACTGAATTTTCATCTTGAGTGACTGTAAGCAAAAATGAGGGCTTCTCTTTAGGAACAGGAAGCCAGCCCTTAACTTCCTTTTGTCACTAACTAGAAGCGATGAATCATGGTTTAGCGGTAAGGAAGTGAAAATACGACGCTGGAATGTTCCGAATGTGACTTTCGCTTGTCCAGATGGCCATCTGCAAACACAAAGATTTGTTCTGCTCCCAGAATCTCGGGGTGCTGAGGATGACGAAAACAGGAAGTGATGTCCTCTGACCATCTAAAGCTGCACTTTCATTCGCTTCAGTGCTCCGGTCTTGTAGCATGACAGGAAGCGGTCATTACTGTGCTACCCATCATTTCACTCTACCAGATACCGCTTAGTGCTGCCGGCTCGTTTCTGAGGATTTCTTTGCAATACTTAAACCTCCATGAGAAACCTTATGTGAATCATCTCTTCTGAGTTAATCTGGGTTTATGTGATATTTGAAATAAGGTCACTTATAGGTGCATCTCAATAAATTAGAATGTCGTGGAAAAGTTCATTTCAGTAATTCAACTCAAATTGTGAAACTCGTGTATTAAAAAATAAAATACAGTGAACTAAACACGGTGAACGCGACTGAAGTACAAAGCTTATAATTTACATAATAAATAATAGTTTAGCATTCAGATACGTTACATCGCAAATATGGAAATATTATGGAATATTTGGATTTGTGCCGAATGAGAGAGGTAGGATACAAGAACGAAGCTCCATTTCGCAAACAGTTGAGTGCACAAGCCTTTAAAGTATACTCCTTTGTCTGTGAGAGACGCATTCAGAATCAGCACATGGTCACTGTCTAGTGGGCTTTGTCTTCAAGTGCACAACTCCTCTCCACCTGTGAGCCTCTGTCATCGGAAGCCTGCGTGTTGCCAGATGTTGAGGGGGTTATTGTCGTCATGGACCGCAAGATAGTGCTCGTTGGCTTAAAAGCAGGGCACCCTCCTGAATCCTTAACACACACTGAAGGCGGGTTGCTTTTCAGCCACTCTCTTTGCCATGTAGGCTACTTTGTCTTCGTTTTTTTTTTGGACGTCACAAGCCGCCTGCCACAAAGAAAACTATTTCGTCCTCAGAATCCATATTTTTATGAATGGCGCAAAACGTAATGCTTACGTCAGAGTTTGTAAAATCGTAGTAAATTCGTGTCGTGTGTGACTGCCTCCGTACGATTTTCGGATAAACTCAATCGTGACATGTGCCAGAGCTCACGACGTTCCGACCTTCAGAATCGCACCGTGTACGCCCGCCTTGAGGTGTGCACGAGCGCATTTATAGTCTCTGTAATGAGACGATTTCGTGGATGAGTAGCCTATAGAAACCCTATGATTACAACTACCATCATTTGAAGAGTCACAAAATTCTGAAATTATCGTACATTATGGGATTTTTTTAATTATTGATCGTACATCGTACAGAGGTCAAAATTATCATACAAATACGATAATTATCGTACGTCTGGCGACACTGTTCAGAATCAGCACATGGTCACTGTCTAGTGGGCTTTGTTTTCAAGTGCGCAACTCATGGCATTCGCTGTTCTTCTGCTGGCGGCCGGTTATCAAACAGCGTTGCATTGCTGCGGGCGCCCCCTTCTGGATTGGGGGTGAATTGCCTGTATTCGTTGACGGTTCGGTACGAATACATGTATCGTTCCACCCCTACTATAATCATAAGGCGCATCCGTGTGTTTGTAAATGAAGATGAAACTCAAGCATTTTCCTCTTAAAAAAAACACAATCTTCTGTTGTTTAGTGAATGTTATAGTAAAAAGCTTTCAAATGAATGTGGTTTTGGGATCGGTTTACTTGCACGACCCGCATCCGTGTGTTTGTAAATGAAGATGAAACTCAAGCATTTTCCTCTTAAAAAAAGCACAAGCTTCTGTTGTTTAGTGAATGTTATAGTAAAAAGCTTTCAAATGAATGTGGTTTTGGGATCGGTTTACTTGCACGACCTCTGAACACACACAAACACTACTGCGTTTAGACTTCTACACAAGGTTTCTATTGCTTTAGAGATCCACACGGTAGCTATTGTTTATGATGACTAATTTTAGTGTGTTTTTGTTTTTTCTATATGCTGTTTTCAAGCTTTTCTTTGGAATAAATTAGGAGTTGTTTTCTAAAAATAAAGTGTGTGTGTGTTGAATTGTCATCTGTACGGTTGGATCCTGATTGGATGGGACGTTACTGGGCTAAAGGCTTATCCGTGTCTCTCAGCAGAAAAAAGGATTCCTCCTCATAAAGCATTCATGCAACACACTGTAAAAAAAAAAAAAAATAGGTCAGACCTCCTCCATGTGACCGAGCTTATACACACTCTGTTGTTGACTCTGAGCGCTAATGCTTCTGGGTATGTGTGCGTGTGTGTTACTGGGAATCAGACTCAACACAGCTGATATATGCTGTCAAGACAAAGTCCCATCTGAAACGTCTCGCATATCACACTGTCGCAGATGAGAACAACCAGCTGTGTGACTTTGCTCCCATTTTTTGTTTGTGCCTTTTTCTAAAGCAACAATTACTGGTGTTTGCTTCAAAACACAAGCCTAAGGCCTGAAACCTTCTCTTACGTATGCAAATGTTTGGCCAGGATCTTGAGGGTCTGTTGTGTATATTTGATATGTGTTCTTGTGTTACTGTGGCAGTAACGAATCTCCAGTTCTCAAAAGGGGTGATAGTTACCTTTAAATGTCTGTGCATGCAAACCAGCTTATTGGAGAATCATAATTATGAGATAAAAATTAAGAGATACTAAATCAAAATTTTTAAGAGAAATACAAATGGATAAAAAAGTCATAATTATGACATAATTCAGTACTGACCATAAATGTGACATCACAATTTACATTTTTTATTAGTATGTCATCATTCTGACTTCCAATTGCAGCCTGTCATAATTTCAACTTTTATTAGTGCAAGTCATATATGAGATAAAAAGTCAATTGTGACACATTAAGTCATGAGAAGTTGAAATTGACAGTCAAAATTGAGATGATTATGAAAATTGACAAAAAAATAATTATCGCACAAGTTGAAATAGTCAAAATGATGACATGCTAATAGAAAAGTGAAATTATAAGATAGTGACAAGTCAATTTTTTGTGTTATAATTATGGGTTTTTACATTATATATGACTCATCGATTTACTGGGTAACACCCAGTTACCTTTTTGTGATTTACACTGCAGTAGATGTTTTACCAATGACCATTTTTGGCTTTTAACTAGACTTATATATGTTTTTCTATCTAGTATAGACTGATAGACACATGGCATTTATGACTCAGGGTGATTGATTGGCTTAAAAATGTTTCTGAATAGATGGTAGCATGCAGGTTGCATACTTCTGGATAAACTCATTGTCTTGGCTGTCTTTCATTTTCTCTCAGTTCTCCTTGCGTCTTTGCCCAGGCATCTCAGGAATATTTAAACGTTGTCTCTTTGCATTCTAACATGTTATCCTGAGGAAACAAGTGCCAACATTGTCCTGAGTGAGTCACACTGTAAATAACCGACTGTCCTGCATCCTTGCATTGTGTTATTGTTGGAATGCGTTGGTGCATTAATGTGTAGTTAAGGTTATGAGTGTCAAGATGAAATAGACTGTTTATTATAATATTAATATTGATAATGGTGTTTACATTTGGGTAGTTATGTGACATGCTAAACTCTTATAACAGAATTTTGCTATAATTTTTTAAATAATTATTATTTAATTTTCTTAAATTCTTAATTGCTGTTATAATTATAATTATAGAAATAGCAAAGGAAAAAAGTAATTAAAATGGTGAAAAATGTAAAAGACATGGTCACAGTCACATAACCAAACATAAACTCTTTCTCTTAAAAATGAATGTAATGTTTATATTAAAATGTCTGACATTACGCCTTTTTTTTTTTTTTTGCATGTGCACGTGGAAGACAAATTTAGGGTTGAGATTGAGTTGTTTTTTGTTTGCTTTCTGATTGTGTTTTTGCCTGTAATTGTTCATTTGTGTGCAGTGTGTGTAGGTGCACTGTTCGCTGAAGCAGGAACATCTCATCAGTGTCGGGTCAAAGAAAATTCCTGAACAACCACCAGGAAACCACCTTGGTCACCACGGCAACAGTGATCCTGGACTCCAGCCTCCCTTTGGTCTGATCAAACAAGACCTTCACGTTTCAGAAAGCAGAGAAGGGCAAATGAAGGGTGTGGACAAGTTAAACTTCCTGCAAAATTACTAACATATAAACATGGTAACATAAGTACTGTAATAGATTATTAGTGGTGTTTCTTAAAGGAATAGTCCCCAAAAAAAAAGTTTGATGAAAATGTACTCACCCTCAGCTATCCAAGGTGCATTTGAATGTGTTTCTTAAGTGGAACAGATTTGGAGAAATGTAGCATTACATCACTTGCTCACCAATGGATCCTCTGCAGTGAATGGGTGCCGTCAGAATGAGAGTCCAAACAGCTGATAAAAACATCACAATAATCCACACAACTCCATTACATCAATTCATGTCTTGGATGGCCTGAGGGTGAGTAAATTTTCAGAAAAGTTTCATTCTGGGTTGAACTATTCCTTTAAGACAAGCATCAGTATTGTATGTATTATTTGACATCATTCCTAAACTCCTAGTCCTAACCCAAAGTTTTAAACACGACCCACAATATTTGTAGGCTACATATAGGAACAACACCTTAAATCAGGTTTTTTTTGGGGTTTTTTTGTACAGGTAAGCATCTTCATATATTTAATGTGTATATCTGTATATTTAATGATCAAGCCTTCATTTTAAAGCTACACTATGTAACTTCTTTGGGTTAAAAATAACAAAATGTACATATTGAGGGAGTATGTTATTATCTTCCAAACCGTGTTTTTGCCTTACCCTGAGTCACTTTGGTAACCCTATAATACTTATTCATATTTTAGAGTTGTCAGGACGGATTTCCCGGGAAACTGCATGCTTTTTATCATTTACCTGTGCGTGTACATGTAGTTTTATGCTTCAACAGCTAGAGGGACAAAAGCTACCCAGTATAGCTTAAACTCATTAAATTCATTATATGCTTGAACCAAAACTCTAAGAAGACATTACAAATGTCTATGTAAACACGGGGTGAACTGATGTTTTGCAGTATTTTCTTAATGCGTTTGTGAATTTTACATCTAGAAAAAAATGTAATATTTCACCTTGGTATTGAATTATTGGGCAATACAAATACTGTGGTAACCTGTGTCTGCATGTATGGTGATTTGTGCTCATCTAGCATACTTGAGCATGTTCAAACACACTGATGTTCAAGGTTTTGCCCTGCAGTGACAGTATAGTTCTCAAGAGCCTTTCTGTGATATTCACCTGTTCTTCAAGATTCAGCAGGGTTTAACTAGCTTAATGACTTATGTCTAACAAATTATATCTATGCCTTTATTATAATGTGATAATTATATCATGACAGTATGATTCAGCAAAGAAACCTCTTTAATTTAAGAACCATTTATTGCTGTAGGATTCTTGAGTCCTTGCTTGCTTTTTTGTTGTGTGAACTTATTTATATGTTGGCTTCTGTTGCTGTTTTATAGTAAAACAGCAGTAAATGGTTAATAAGTGCATGGAATTCATATTTGCATAACAATCACTCTTATATAATGTTTGCTTTAATTACTTGTTTATACATATACATTCAGAATGTTTTATCTGTTTACACATTAAAGCACAAGCGATGATAAATAGACATGAAGTACTGATAGAAATTGGAATTATTTTACTATGTGAAAAGAGAGCAGTGTAGGAGATTGGTTACCAGTTTAGAGGTCATTGTACAAACATTATAGGCTACACTGCATTTGGCCGATCAGAAGCGAGTATGATACATCTATATATAACAAACCCCCCAGTGAGATCATGGGATCTGAATGAAAGCAGCACAACAGCTGCTGATGGGGTTATTCGTTGGTGAATCGTTTTTTCTAATCTCCAGCATTGTCCTCATGGTTAACCCTCTCTTGTGCTCAGTTATCAGTCTGACATTTGACTTTGGTGGTCATTATGCAAGCCTACAGCTCCGGCTCCCATCTGCTGCTGCTGCCTGTTGGAGTCTTTCACAGGCTGGGGCCCTCCGGGGTCTGACAGTGTTTCACATGTTATTTATTTGGTGCTTTTCTCCACATGAGCAGAATTAGCTACACCTCAAAGTGTTTATTTCATGCAATGAATTGAATTTATTTGAATATATAATACATTTATATTATAATTAAGATCGATTGTAACTAAATAGCTGACTTGCGTTTCCAGGACAAGGTTTATATATTTTTTATTTTTGTTCACTTTTAAGCTTTATGTCTATGCATCATGCTCCTTTAAACCACATTTATTCGACTCTTAATGAAAATGACTTTAAAAGTCTGCATATGTAGTGCACGGCATGTTTACAAACAGGAAGACTATTTGACATGCTTTAGATGACGATCTGGTTAATTAGAGCGCACTCAGGTGAACTGTTGCTATGGTGACACGTAACGCGCCGCAGCGCACCTGACGCTTGGATCGGTGAGTTGAGGAAGCTTCTGATTATCTAAAACCAGGGTGCGAACTACGGGGGAGCTAGGGGGAGCTCGGCTCCCCTTAATAAGACATGGGCTCCCCTGCAAACGTGATTTGCGAAATTTTGTGGGGTCTCAAAAAATATTGACAATGTGTTATTTTGACGTGCAATTTCAGTTTTGTGTAATGTGATCATCGTGGATTATTATGTGTAAAATTGCAAAAATATCATTCATTCATGCATGACGGCGATTTAAACCTAATTCACTTCAATGAAGATAACTATACATGTTATTCTTGTCATGAGCATCAAGGTGTGGGGGTGCTGCGGTGCAAATTCCACTCATGTTTAGTACATGTTAACTTAAAGATTCGTAGAAAAAATATAAACGCTGGACTCTGTGGTCGATTCTGTGTTAAGGTAAGGCATGTTATTCGCAATTATGTGTTGTTATGTGTTGTGGCTGGGTTGTTATAGGTCTGCGTGACTCTCGATGTCTTAGGCCTAATTGAACAGAGGAATTATGATATTCTTCTGTAGCCTGACGACGAGCCTGTCAGTGCTCAGACCATACGCCGCACACTGCATCAAATTGGTCTGCATGGCTGTCAAGTAGTGCATACACTTGTAGCTGTTATGTATCTTTGTAAGTCATTGTAAGCCCTCTTTTGAGGCACGCGCAAGCGCACGAACCCCCGCCCCGTTATAAACAAAAAACAAGTGGGCTCCCCCAAAGTCCACGGTATAGTTCGAACACTGTCTACAACCTTTAACTAACAAAACAAAAACGGTATAAAAGTTATTTAAAAAAAAAAAGAAAAAAAAAAGACTTGCTTGCGTTTTTGTTGTCTGAACTGTGCTGTTTTATAGTTCTTTAGTAAATAATTAATGAGTGCGTGGGATTCATAGGCTATTTGCAACATTCACTCTTATATAATGTCTTCTTTGATTACTTGTTTATGCAGATACATTCAGAATGTTTTCATCTATTTATACTCTTTAAAGCACAAGTTTGTGTTCTAAACACACTAGGCTCCAGGAAACTGTTGTGTTTAATGAGCAGTGATGCCTACACGGACAGAGCAGCTCGCGCAGCCCAAAACAAACCTGCTCAAGTTCCCTGACAGGTGGGTCACTGCGGTACATTATCAACGCAAAGGGGTGTATCATATATACTGTATATATATATATATATATATATGACCCTATATTTATATCCTGATGCCAATTTATCCAATGACATACTTTTACTTAAGAAATCTAATTAAATGTATTCAAAAAAGGATGTTCCAAACAATAAACAAAATTTCGTTTTTTTTTTATATTTTTAAAAATTGCTTAGACACTAAAAGTGGTACTACTTGAGGTGAGGGTACTCTTTAGTGAAACCATTCACTCATATACCTAATCTTTAGACCAAGTCTGCAAAACTACAAGCACAGGCCCACTCAGTGAAGCCATTCATTCATATACCTCATCTTTAGACCAAATCTGCAAAACTACAAGCACGTTACCTGCTCTAAACTCAGTTTACTATTGTAAAACAAACTTTTTGCTAAACTCTAAAAACAGTTTTCTACATTACACACATCATTCAAAACTAAACGCTCTTTTGTTTCATTTGGGAAGCACTGCCATTTCAATGCCACATTCATTTACTGATTACCTACAGCCAGTGATCATGTGTGAAAACACTTATACATAATTTATTTAGTTAGAAATCAAAACTCAGTGCTTTGAGAAAGAAATAATTTTTACCCCCTTGCATTTCTGTTTAGTGTATATACAGTACATATATGATTATATACTGTGTGTGTGTGTGTGTGTGTGTGTGTGTGTGTGTGCATACAAGTCAAGTCAGAAAGTCAACTTTATTTCTAAAGCACTTTATACAATATAGATTGTTTCACAGCAGCTTCACAATAGTATCAAATTCAAATTCTGTAAAGCAGCTCTAACAAGTCAATAGCGTCATTACACAGCTCAAGTCAGTTCAGTATTGATTCAGTTCAGTTGCATAACTGTGTAAAATTCATCAATTGTACATACATACTGTATAGTGTATATGTGCATATGCATGCATGTGCGAGTGCTATGACAACTCCTGTGCACTCCACTGCACTCTGAAGCAAAAGACACACAAGAGTAGTTTTACATTTTTCACATCTGTGTGTAGTTTGGTGTGTATGTGGCTAATTATTTTATGTCTGTGTGTACTAGTGTTATTACACAAAAATACCAAAACAGTTTTGAAAGAAGTGCAAGATATGTATGATGTTTTGCATGTTGTGTGTGTGTTTTGTGCTTTTGCGAAATCGAAATATTCCATGTGAAATATGAAAACTGAACTGCTGTTTCCCAGGAGAATAAAGACTGCCATTCTCTCACACATGGTCAAAACCTCTGTTAGTGTTTGACCTAGTTTTTTTAAATGAACTGGTATATCTGCCCACAAGGGGGCTCTTTGACTCATTCAAACAGCAGATAACTTGGGCATCCTTTAGTGAATCATCCAAGCTCGTGTCTGCCACATTTCCGGGCAGTAACACTGACCCAAACAATACTTTTGTATATTTATGATGAAATACAGCAGTTATGTGTGTCCAAACCACCCATTTTTCTTTGTGCATTGATGCAATAATTACTTTTTTTTATTATTTTTTTTTATAATTATAGGCACTCAGTATGCTGGCTTGATGAACTACCAACCAGGTCAAAGATCACCACTACAGCCTTTGGTATGAGAATCACTTCATTTACTGAGTGCCTTTGTGGAAATGTTATATCATAATCTTTGGTCATGTATTGAAATTGTCTCCACAGAACTGACACTTCGATGGGAGCAGCTCGCCCAGAGCAAACAATCAAGCCGTTTCTTTGATGTAGTGACTAACAGGTGACTAATGTGATTTCCATTAAAACTACTTACTATAAAGCTACAGTTCGGAAGAATAGTTATAAAGGAATAGTATAAAAATAGTATAAAGGAATAGTTGACTCAAAAATGAAAATTTGCTGAAAATGTACTCCCCCTCAGGCCATCCAAGATGTAGATGAGTTTGTTTCTTCATCAGAACAGATTTGGAGAAATGTATCACATTCACTTTCACATTCCATCACTTGCTCACCAATGGATGCTCTGCAGTGAATGGGTGCCGTCAGAATGAGAGTCCAAACAGCTGATAAAAACATCACAATAATCCACAAGTAATCCACACCAGTCCAGTCCATCAATTAACATCTTGAGAAGTGATAAGATGCATGTTTGTAAAAAAAAAAATCCATCATTAAGATGTTTTTGAATTCCAACCGTTGTTTCCGGCTAAAATATGAGTCCTCTATCGATAATATTGAAGTCATCTCGTCTGAATCAGAAGAGAAATATGCACAGATCAAGCACCTTTTACAAGCCAAAACAAACCAAATCGGTTCTAAACAAATATGTGTGTGGATTTTGATGTGTGAGGACAACAGGAGATGGACTTTTTCACTGGAGGAAGCGTAATATTACAGAAATAGTATTAACGTTAAAACGCCTTAATCATGAATTTGTTTCTTACATGCAGCTTTTCTCTTCACAAGACTTTAATCGATGGACTGGAGTGGTGTGGATTACTTGTGGATTATTGTGATGTTTTTATCAGCTGTTTGGACTCTCATTCTGACGGCACCCATTCACTGCAGAGCATCCATTGGTGAGGAAGTGATGAAATGTTACATTTCTCCAAATCTGTTCCCATGAACAGATGAAACCATTCCTTCAAAGGAATACGAGCTCCATGCAGTACTGTACATGTATATCGAGTTTTTATAGCCAGTTTACACACCTCAGCCTTCATTAATGTGAATATGCAATAGACGATGAGAGTTAAACTCATATTCATTCCATTTTATCTTCGTTAAAAGACACAAACAGTAATTTCCCTTCCACAGTGTCTCATGATGCACATCTCATAAGTTCAGTATCTGTTTAGAGAATCATGCAGCAGCACAACAACTGACGTCGTCATGCAATAACGGCTCTTCCAGTCCTAATGTCCTCATGGTTCCATTCATACACTAAACTCAGTCTCAAAGCTCATCATAGGGCTTTAACTGGCTGTGCTTTTCACTGATGATGGCATCTGTAATTAGTTAATATGAAAATATGAATCCAGCTCTCTCAGGTGTCATCTAGTTAATTTGAAGTAAGGAAAGAAGCTGAAAGCAAATAACTCATGATCATAGTCAAACTACAGTATACTACTTTACTGCATATACTTTTTTTTTTTGTGGAAAAATAACATGAAGCAGAAAACACAATGCAACAACCCACATTTTTTCACGGGTAAGTGCACTGCCTTGCATTCTGAATAGTGTGCTCTGATCCTACATAGCACATTTGGCAATTGCAGTAGGTTTCCAGGGATTTTTTTTTTTTTTGCATACAGAGATTTTGCATCCTATGCACAGTGTGCTGCAGAAATAGCATTATGGCAGTGTGCTATTCTGAACACAGCTCATATGTCTGTCCATACAGAAGGTCACCGGACGGAGTGGATGGTTAGTGTAGCAGCGCACTGCCTCGTATGCCAGCTGATGGATGGCAGCCCGATTGCACTCTGCTGGCCACTGTAAGTAAATGCACTACATCTTGCAATGCCGAAATTAGTTTGTGATCCATCTTGCACACCTAATAAAAGTTCTTCACTGGTTCTTTAACCCTGTAATGCCTGACGTGTGAAAAATAGTAAGAAAACTATATACATATATTTTAAATGGAACAGTATATTGAACTTTCAGACAAAATATATTTAAAAAATACATGCGTTTTTTTGTAGAGTATCATATTTGATACACCAGGCTTTTATGGCTCATATAGTATGATATAGTGAGAAAACGGAGCTCAAATTCAAGGAGGAATATAACACACCTCAGTTTAATTCAGGGACCCAAACTGAGCAAAATTATGCTATTTGGTTCAGTTGCTGATATTTATATGCCAAAAAGTAAGATGAAATCCTGATAGCTACTTACATAAAATGCCTATAAATATCAGTTGTCACTCTATATCTCCCAATAATATTCCTTAGTAAGATGATATTCAAATGCCTATAGTTTTATGATTAAAGCTCTGTATTTTTTATTGTGGGGGCAAAACAATGCAGTGCTATACAATGATGATAGATTAACAAATAAACGTTCATCAAAAGCCTGATGGTCATAACTGACACTCACATTTTAACATGATTTAAGTTTAAGTTCAAGTTTACTTTATAAAATGTATAAAAATTTCCCAACAAAAAGACTCATGAACCATTACCTGAAGCTGGATATTTTTACAACTATACTAAAAGGCCTTTTACTTGCTAAAAAGTGTGAAATATCAATCGATGACAGAAGGCATGTAGTAAATTGTGTGCAGCAAAATTTTGATTGTTGATCATTTAGAGCAGGGATGGGCAACTGGCGGCCCGCAGTGTCTTTTAGTACGGCCCACTGGATCATATTAGACTCGGATGATCCATTTTAAAACATTTGAAAAGCAAGTCACGTAAAGATTGCTTTCAGTTTATGATGTTAATACTATCTCCAACCAGGAGAGGTTTCCAGCCACTCCCCTATTAATTTCAGCGTAGTAGGACGTGCACTCTAATGTAAACATTCATTAACATTAGCAAATAATAAATGAAAAACTGACCATGAAAACAGTATTTTCAAGTCAAGATGGTAAACAGATTATCTTTTGACCAAGTTCAAGTGGATATGTTTGGAAATCTGTATTTTATTTAAATCGCCTTCACACCACTGCTCACAAACAACGGGGACGCCAGAGTTGCACTTGCCTCAAATTTCAAAGGTAAAATTCATAGTCAACAAAAGCTTTTTGCCAAATGCATGACAGAAATGTTTGCACTGGACTATGTTCTTATTAGGGTTTCCGCGGGTCCTTAAAACTTCTTCAGTTAAATTGTTTACATTTAAGGCCATGCAAACTCTTAAATAGTACAAAAAGTCTAAATTATAAGAGGTCTTTGGGGACGGAAAGAAAATAATTGTTATATGGATTATTAATATGACGATTAAACTTCAAAAGGCTACGATTTCACTGAATAAACTTGAGTGCTGCATGTTAGCTTTGTGTACTGCGGTTACGGGGAAACCACTATATGCACAGTTCCGAAAGTGAAAGCTGCTGGCGGAGAACGAATTTGCTTTTTCAAAAAGCCCATCTGCTATTTTTGCTACATATTTTTAAATGTGAACCAGTGGATCGACAAAAAGCTAATGCATTATAAAAATCTAAACAATTAAGACCCCATCCCTGATTTAGAGGCATTAAAAAACTGGTGCATCAAATATGATACCGTAGGCTTTATAAAGAGCCTAAAGAACCCAGAAACCAATACATTGTAAAGAATCTTAATTTCTGAGTTTATGCACATATTTTACATTTTATTTTTGTCAAATTATACTTTGGTGTGGTAGTATTTAAAGTCTGGTGGACACTACACTTTTTTTTTTTTTTTTTGGCTTTCAAGGTTTCAATCATGCAATCTTCAGGTGTTAAAATGCCTACAAATATCAAAAGCTGAGGCAGTTCTGCAAGGATGCAGAAAATAAGTAATATGCTTCAGTTTACGTCATTGTGTCTGTGATCTAAACTAAAGCATACAAGCTATTTTAAAACAGCAAAGGTTCCACAAAGGACCTTCTTCTTATCAAGAAGTGTGAAAAAGTGATTTCCCCCTCAGCATCTATAAACACTTCCTGTAGTTACACATGAGTGTTTCTTGCATCTGTGGAGGAAGTTCCCACTTGTCTTAGCAGAACTGCTTCACCTCAGTGACATTTGGAGTCTTTTTACACTCAAAGATTATGTAATTGAAACCTTGAACACCAAAGACAATGAAAACTCCCACTAATACCTTTTACCACCAAGTGTCTAAATACTGCTACAACTCACAATCTGACAACATGAAAAATTTAGATGGGGGCAAAGACTTTTTTTTTTTTTACACCACTACATAAGTTTAAACGGTTTGAAGAAAAAAAGGTTATCCTATAATATGAGGCGTTAAAATCATTTTTGAATATTTTTGAGATCTATAGTTAAAGCTGCAGTCCGTAACTTTATTTGGTTAAAAATGATCTGAAATCAATATTTGAGCAAGTACATAACCAGCCAGTGTTCAAATATATCGCCTTACTTTAGCCCAATTCACAACGGTTAGCTTATAATAATGTTTTCTAATTTGAGTGGTACAGGTAGGTTTTCACGGGAAATTCGAGCATGGCACTGCGTCATTACGTCACGTCTGTAAACATAAAGAAGTTGTCCTGGCTACTAGGCTATCTATCGCATGTGAGGATCCTGCAGGTGGCCGATCGTTTATAGCCTTTTCTCACAGCAGCCAGAATAATTAAATGTATCATTTTGATGCCGGATTGCAATCCATAAAGGATTATGTGTTTTTGAAAGTGAATGAAATTAAATTTATATTCCAGTTATAAATGTGCTTCTGATTACAGATAGCCTGTGATTACAAAGATTTGTATTTTAAAGAAAACCAGTTCGAAAGGAGCATAATTTGCTTTTTGGGATAAAAGAATTTCTTAAAATTAAATTGGAAGAGTATGACAATTAGATTAGACGGTGCAGAAATTGAAATCTACACGCTAATACACACTATACTCATAGTCACCAATGCTGATGTTGTTAACATTAATCTCAGTATGGCCGCTGCCATCTTGAGTAAATGACGTCATTTGGAGCCAGAGTCTGCGCAGTAGAGATTTGTTTGGAGCCAGAGTCTGCGCAGTAGTGTCGTGAGGTGGAGCCGCGGTATCAAACTCCCGCCCAAACTCGCGCAGACCCAATCAACCATAACGACACGCCCCATTTTTATAGCATCAAATTACTAGCTAAAATTAAACTTATCACAAAAACGAACAATAGAACATATATCAGCGTGATAACAACTACCTTAAATGACCAAAACCATCTTTCGGAAAATTGTATTGGAAGTGTAA